TTCGCGGAGAATACTTCGAAAAACAATAAAGTCATATAAAATTACCTACCGTGTTGTTTTATTTCCATATGCAAAACTTAAAAGACATTCCTCGTATTATAGGCTGATTCCAAAGAATAGTGACATTAGTTGCAGTTTCAACCTGCTGTGGTTCATGCTCATACCAACGCTGTTTAACGTCGATATCGAAATCTTTGCAGATTGGCAACTCTGTCGTGTCGTGTAACGTATTCGCGCTGAGCGAGGATAGGGCATGAAGACATTACGTGAGATATGGTTTCATCGTTCTCTTTGCATATCCTACATTTGGGATCGTTGTTTCTTCCCAGTATCCAGTTTGAATGGTAGTTGGTATTTATGGCTTGATCTTGTGCCGCTATTATGAGACTTTCTGTTTCACTCTTTACGTTTGCTCTTGTGAGCCATCTCACTGTGTCTTCTTTGCTGAGGTTGTGGTTTTGAAGTATTATTATTATTATTGTTATTATTATTATTATTATTATTATTATTATTATGTTGGTCGAAATATGGAGACCACGAGAACTTAGGCAGGATTGAATCAGTTTGCTTTCTGTTTTTATGTCCATCACCGACCATATACGTCCTTTCGTTGTGAGGTGTCGATGAAAATTCCGGTGATACAAATAGTATGGTCACTCATTAATTTTTAATTGCGCCTGTAATTATTGTACCGTCATAGATAAAATTTTGTATCTAGGACGTAATAAGGATTTATGTGTATGTTTAGATACATAAATAACTATACATTGTTGTCATTTTGATAGCAAGCTAAGGAATTGGAAGGAGAGAAACGTAATGGCTTCTGTCACGCATGCTACTCTTGATAAGTAAGAACGTATACTAAGTGACATATAAATCCGAACACCCAGTTTAAATGGTTTTATTTTAATAAAAGTTGGTGAATGTATTTATCTTACTGTAAATAACAAGTGAAAAAATTTTCAGCCTTATCAGTTGGACATTCCGGTTTTTATACTGCTTTTTTTTAATTCACTAACGCTCTAAAAATGAATATTTCAGCCGCAGTGAAGAATCAACCTTGGCGGATTTTGGTTCTTGACATCGTTTACGATCGGTTACGATGCCTAGAATACGGAGACCTGTACGATTTCGTCAACTTAGTGAGTGGGATAGGGGCCGTATAATGGGACCTCGGGAAGCTGGACTTTCTTTTCTGGCAATTCCAGTTAGAGTGCAAAGAAGTGTAGACACTGTGGTTAGGTGTTGTCAGGCATAGCTTCGAGAATGCCGTACGCAAAGAGCAAGGGGCACTGGACGCTTCCGAAGAACAACAGACCGTGAAGATCGCCGCCTAAGATTATTGGCCTTAAGGGACCGTTTCTCCACTACCAGGTCCATTGCAAATGAATGGTTTGCAGAACACGGAAGACCTATTGGCATGCGAAGTGTTTACCGACGAATGAGAAGTTTTGGCTTGTTTTCATACCGGCCACACTGGGTCCTCCCTTTAACTCGAGAACACCGACGTAATCGCCTTGAGTGGTGCAGACAACGGTCACTCTGGGATCAGTAATGGAACAGTATTGTCTTTAGTGACGAGTCTCGATTTTGTTTAGGCATGCACGATGGTCGTGCCAGGGTTAGAAGGCGACGTGGTGAAAGGAGGAATCCACAGTTTTTTGTTGAAAGACATGTTCATCACACTGTTGGAGTTATGGTTTGGGGTGCTATACCTTATGGTTCCAGGTCACCTTTAATCTTCATCAGAGGTAACATGAACGCGCAGCGTTATATCCACGAAGTTCTAGAACCCCATTTTTTACCCTATCTTGACACCCTGGCAGATCCAACTTTCCAACAAGATAATGCCCGACCACATGTTGCAAGAGTCACAATAGACTTCTTTCCACATAATGATGTCACATTGTTACCATGGCCACCAAGATCTCCCGACTTATCCCCAATTGAGCACGTGTGGGATATGATGGGTAGGAGAATGCTCAATTTGCAACGTCCTCCTCAGACTCTAGAAGCACTTCGAGAGGAGTTGGTGGTTGCCTGGAATGAGATACCACAGGAGGACATTGACCACCTGATCAGAAGCATGCCTAGGCGCGTTGGAGAATGCGTAGGCCATCAGGGTGCCTCCACACATTATTAAAGGTCACAGGGCTTTAAAGCAGTGCAATCATTTTGAAATTTTTATCATTTGCTTATTATGCTTCATTAAGTACTTGTACAAAATTTTATTACAATAAAACCATTTAAACTGGGTGTTCGAATTTATATGTCACTTAGTATATTTGGAATAAAAAATTGCACTCACTCATGTTATCCATATCCTATAACTGTATATGGTAAACAGTGTCACAACTTTAATACACCCGGTAGATTAAAGTAGTAATTTCATGTACTAGTTACAAAAGAATTGACCATGAAGATACCAATTTTTTACCATTATAATAATTTCCGATGAAGAAATAGAATATTCGAGTTATAGCTTTACGTACAATCAACTCCAAATGCAGCAGGCATCGTTTATTCCAGGTGTATCTGATTTACCATCAAAATTGCGTTTTTTTTATTGGCCTCAAATTTGATATCCAATGCAACATGCCATTTATGGCGGGTAATAAATATATGTATATTGCATATATCCATAAAAGTGATTTTGTCTAATAAGTGGGAAACGATGTGATGATGGTTATTGGATGTAATAATCTATTCACGTTGTTGAACTATTAACGTTAGCTTTTATTTTGATTCTGTTTTAATATCTGTAATACACCTTTAAATCTTCAAAGGTGGGTTTTGTAACATTGTTTCTACTGTCACATATTGATGGCCGTCTTCTATATGAAAAAAGCAGTCCACAACTGCGCGGATGATATTTCTTGGCATGCCGGTATTCTAGTGCCAAACCAACATCAGTGATCGAACTGTAGAGAAGACTGGTTTCGACTCCCTTTCTGACAGAATTACTGGACGTTATCACTATCTAAAAACGTGATACTTTAGTGCAGTTTGGTGCGTTTAAGACAAAGTTGTACCTCAATAAGAAACACCTAAACCCACAGCAACCGTTGAATGATCTACACACCTTCAACTGTTCATGACGGTTCAGCTGTTGGCTCAAATTTTGATCGCTACATTACTTGTCGCGCTATTTATTGGTCAGAAACTAGTTACATACAAAACTAACATGAAAATTTACTAGCAATATTATTACCTATTGCAATTAGGTGACATTACTTTTTTAATATACTTACAATTTTCAACGTCAAACCTCAAGAACACCTTCGATGCATAAGGGACTTACGTTTCTTATGGTCTTCTTTGCAGGTTTTTAAACCAACTTTATCTTAAAACGAATAATTTGACAAACATTTCTCGGGATAAACAATTCATGTCAAAACTAAACACTTTGAGCTTTCAGTATCTCTGTTTCTACGCTATTTTTTGCGTGGCTGTGGTGTGTGTTAGTTATTGGTTATTTTGTCGGTACGATCTATCAAAAATTTTGACTTGATATATTTAGTCGCTTCGGAAAGTTTTCTCGTTTTCGTGAATATTACCACAACAGCATGGATCTTAGTAAAGGGACGTTTAAGGATCGTTTGTATGAATTTCATAGAATAAATGAGTATTCCTTACCATATTTGATTTGGGAAAACGAAATTTATCGATTTCAATGCTTCAAAGCGCAAAATGGATATATAAGTCCAATTTAAAAAGATAAATTTTTGATTTTTAATATGAAACGGTGAAAACGCTATCTGCCAGGATGTGACTACCTGCAAATTGTAAATAAAGAAACGTTATCCGTATGTCACTCGTGGACTCCTAGCCAACGTAAAAAGTTATCGTTCTTGCGTTTTATTGAAATAAACAATCATGGACGTTGGATTCGTAAAAGCAGGAAGCACACATTTGCTGAACATTGGAACATTCATGGCTAGTAATTTGTTTGCCTTTAACCCAGATTTCTGCTCTGCCTAACTGAGGAACAAGCTATGTATGTACAGTGCATCTGATATAATGATAGGCATAAAAAGAAAGAATAAATAATACACTTACGTAATCTTCCTTTTGAGAATTCATTCAAAACTAAGCTCTTACATCATAACCTCTGAATAATTTTATTAAATATTGTATTTCTTCTTACACATCTGCAAGGGAATCGTACGTTGATGATGGCGTAGGTAACGTACTTCTTCGTGACTATAAAATCTGCAGAGTAAAATATGTCCCAAATATAAGGTATGCTCAAAGCAAGACAGGGTGCCGCTATATTTATGTCCCCTGTGCTCTCTAATCCGCACCTTTCCTGGGGTCTTTATGGATGTGTTTTTACATTCTCGGAAGGTATAATAACAATAATCATATATTTTTGATGTAAACTAGTAGAAGTCATGTTTATATGTTTAAAAGTTTTAGAGGTAATGCTGCTGCTGTTTACAAGTGACGTTGGAGCACATTAATAGTGTATATGGGCCAACATAGCCGATAGCGTTTTCGCCGGTGTAAGAAAATTGTATTTTTAAATTAAAGTTTTACGATATTTTAGGTCTTGAAAAAATATTGTATTAATTTTGTCTATTAGAACAAATATTAATTATTTAATAATAATTATTTTAAAAAGTGTCAACACTGTCAACTAGCCTATTTGCACCTAAGAAACGTTGCTATTGTTTTTTGAACCACCCTGTACATTTCACCCGCTAGGGTATATTAAGACAATTGAGTATAATGAGATTTAGTAGCGAATTTCCCATTGTGTAATTTGTGAAACTGCACGGTCATCCTCGGTTACGACAAAGTTCCACGATTGACATTCCCAGTAATTTCCTTGTCGCGTTCTACTCATTTGTATCTCACGGATTAACATTGAACTTCATCTCAGGTTATACAGTAGCTTTTGCAATATCACGCATTCCGCATTCTACATGTCCCTCACACACATCTATCCTGTCTACCAATAATGCGTGTAAATGAAATTGATCTTGATCTGGTTTCAGAGTCCGGCAGCAACCGCAAAGGACAACAACTACTGCGTGAAATCGTAGAAAACGCGCAAGGTAAGTTTTCATTAGATATCAGAAGAAAATGCCAGCCGATTATTAGATAACGTTTTAATAAACTTGTTAATTAATAGCGTGAAGGTATGTGTCACTGAGTAATGCTGGGTAATTTCGTATGGACAAAGAAGTAGGAACAGTAAATCTCTATATTACCATTTTACTACCGCCTACTGGAGAGAAAGTAGTTGTAGTCGATAAAATGAGATACTATGTTTTATGCACGATATGCTTCCATCACGAAAAACCAGGTTTACTCATTTCCGTCTGTCTTTTTGGCCGCCAATCCTTGGCCCGTCTATAACTTGGAAACTACTGCTCAGGATTTGGATGAAATTTTTACAAGGGTACTGCTACTGCCAAAGACGAAAAAGCGTTGTAGTTTGTGAAAATTCCAAAAATGAAACAAAAATCACCCAACTATTTTTTTGTCGTTTTAGAGGATCCTGATCAATTTTGAAAAACATTTTATGTGTAAAAATGGGAGGGGGGCGGTAGTGGGGGAGGGTGTATCGCAGTCTTCTGGCAGCAGTATATTTATAAACCCTAGTAATTCTACGCGGATATTATTTATGTTTTACACTTATACTCCGTATATTTGCCCTTAAAACTGATAGAAATATTATGTATGTGCACTGGACGCTGCTCGCTCTCGGGCGATCGCTCACACGACGAATGTTCTGAGTAGCTGAGAAGTGGTCAAGGATGCCTCGGCGATATAACAATTGCAACTACTAGTGAATATAAATAATTAGATGCGGTGACATAGATGCGGTGACATTAGGGCTGTCGTTATTAAGGTGTGAAATAATGATTACACGATCTTGTTTGCGCGAATATGAAGATATTTTGTGGAATGAAGAATCTCATGTCTTAGTACCTTTTTCTCTAGCAAATAATACCAGGGCCTCGATTACTTGAAAAAACTCAATAATGTTTCTCCATTCATATTGATTGTATCACAGGACCAGCAACAAAGGTTTACCTATATTTCATTTTCATTCTGCTCTACTCCTTATGCCGGGGTACAAAGATTTTCATAGCCGACAAGCAATAAATATACCAGAGCCTTCAAGAGTTGATTCAGACTCAGAAATATAGAGTCAACCTACTTGACGCCATTATTTCCCTGTTAGCATGTTACGAAGACACCTCTTTCCATGTCATCGGTATGGAAGAACACAGCCACAAGTCGAGAATTTAAGAAGACCCAGCTTCTAAGTTATTCAAATTTAAATTGAAAAAAGTGTCACTGCTTGTACTTATATGGTAACAGCTAGATGACTTTTATGGAAAAGTGTTGAAGTTCAAATAGGGTACGGTTACAAATCCAAAATTTTTTTTTTTGAGAGTGCAAGCACATATTGATAGGGAACAGCATTTTTCACACTGTAGATTCCGGAGACTGTTATTTTGTAGTGCTGGATTTTGCATATCCCATATTTTATGCGTCGGTATCTCCCTTTGACTTGGAGCAACAATAACTTTTGTAAATTGTTTTGCACCTAGTACACTCTTGCGACATGTTTGATTGAGTACTTGGAACTCATTTTTAGAACCTTCCAAACCACAAATCTCATGGAACCTGTTATTCATTATGTAATCCTAATGTGTTATCTAGGAAAGCTGGAATTTAGAAATGCCTCTCTGGAAATTTGTGGTTTTGAAGTTGTGACGGTGTTCTTACAAGCGGACGATGTGTGCAAATATTTTTTGCTGCTCATTTAAACTTCCACTTGCAGCAGACAAGGTTGTGTTGTCTTTTTGGGAGGCCAGCTACCTTAAAAGTTTTGCTTTTTTAGCGGTTTAAGCTTCAAGGTCATTCGTTTTTTTAAATGTAACTTACCTTTGGTTATCAGCCAGCTTTTACTTCCTATGAAATATATAAAAATACTATGGTTTTTTGAGGTTATATGACGAAAAGCCTTTGTAGTTTTTGAAAATCGGTCCAGTGGCGGCGGAGCTAGAGGCAAAAACACAAAAAAGCTAAAAATCATTCAAATTTTATTTTTTGAAGTTTCAGAGGCTCCTGATCATTTTCAGAAGATGTTTGTAGGTGTTGAAATTCGAGGGGATTAGAGGTTGTAGGTGGTGGGGAAGGGTATATCTATTTTGTGCTTTTGGTGGCAGTGTAATTGTACGCTTTCAACCCCTAGTAATGAACAGTACACGTTTCACATATCAAAGGTCTCCCCGTATAGTCTAATCATTTAGCAAATTTCCCCGACATAATTGTAAAGTTCTATTTTATTGATGCAAGTTGCTCAAGGGGGTATTCATGCTACATGTATTCAATGTTCTAACTACATGTAGCATGTAAATGTTATACTAGTCATATAAGACTGAATAAGTGGGAGCTGCACGTTAAACAGTGGCATCACCGTTGATGTTTGTCAGATGGTTGCGCCGCCTGCTTGCCTGAAGATATGGATGAGATATTGAAAGAATGCCAAAAAATGCGCCTGGAATAAGGAATGTTGGGAATGTGCCTGAGATTTCGTTCGTAATTTGAAATCTGCTGAAAATGATGATGGATTATTTCATGAACATATATTCATAAAATATCCCCAATAAGGGTTATATCTCTTTCAGCAGTTTAGCTGAGAACAAGGATCAGAATAATAAAATCCAACCATAATTATGAAGCACCAAATATATTCAGTTTCAAAAAATAATCATATGCTGTTGACCATGAGATGAAAATTTTATTACATGAAAATATAGATAAATTTATTTCAAACTCATGTTGTGTGTTGCACTTCATTGTACTGCTTTTTGATAATTCTGAAACAATACAGATAACGCTAATGTAATTGTAAATAAGCTAGTCACCTTTAATTAGTTTGCTTAGTTCTATGCCTTTAATTTATCGGCCTTTCATACTTTATATAACTACAAGGATTATAAACAGGCTGAATTCAGACATGCAGTTTCAAATAATCTACCAACTACATCTACATCTCCCACAATAGTCACAATACATCTCACGTATACCATCACAGCTACAGAGGATGTTGCTTTATATTCTATGGTCATTTTGTACGAGATACCTCCGAAAGCATCAGCGTTGATAATCTGGATGTTAATCTAAACAAACGCCATATTTGATATTTTTACATTTAGATAAAGGTACAGAAACCCGGCAAGCAGCACGTCACGTGATGCCAGTGATGCAGTTTCCTCGATTTTACTTGGAGAGGATGACCTTGGTGTTGGCAATTCGCCCATAAGACGTTTCACCCCCCTGATACTGGTAGTTGTTTTATTAATTCCAAAGATCAAACATGGTTATGACATTGACAAATGTCAAAGTAGATAATATATGATATACCGATAACATATTTAACAATTGAAATTCTTGGAAAACATTATGGTTCATAGTAAGACATTAAAAAGACAATCAGAAGTTAAAATGTATCTAAAACGCCAACATATATTTATCCAGGTAGTAAAAACAATTTTCGATAACCAAGTTTTTTATCACTTTTTTGGAAGTCTGTATGACTACACACCGACATAAAGGCTAACCAACAACCAAACGAGATTTCAAAAACCTGATGAGCAACCTCGTCTAAGGGTATATACAGTCTGCTAAAACCTAAAGTTTGGGCTAAAAAACAAGGTTAAAAATCAATTTAAAATAAAGTTGAATCAAAATACTCATCGGGGTCTTGTAGAGCAAGGTTGTAGCATTATTTTTGATACTTGGCGACCAAAAATGAAATTTTCAACAGAGTCTGAACAGAAGGATCCAAAAACCTGAAAAAGATGTGTAATTATTTAAAAAAAATGTTTAGACCAATTTGATCTTGGATATCGTGCGTGTTTATACAATGCTTAGATACTCGGTTAAAATTATAATGTTTGAAGTCGCAAACTATCCAATTTAAAGTTAAAAGCTTGCCCTACAAGACATTGAAGAGTATTTTGAGATCTGTTTATTTCAAAGCGATTTCAACCTTGTCTTTCAGGCCAAAATTTGTGAACTTTTGGTTTCGCAGACTGCTAAATGTAAGCTATACATTGACCCCCCCCCCCCCACTTTTTTGTCTGATGTGTACAAAAAAAATATTACGAAAGGTTTTAGGATATCGAAAAAGTGTTTCGCCCAATATCTTTTTTGTATACAGGCTATCTAAGAAACGACCTATAATCATTTCCCAGCGGTGTCTTTTGATCAATCGTTCCTAAAACTTACTTTAGGTGACTTATTCACTGGGTGTATCTGCATTCAGTATGGTTGGTCCCGTTGACTGTCTTGTAATTTCAGTGGTTGGTGATTTGCTATTAGCAGGGTAGTAATTTTGAACGCTAGAATACCAAAATTGCTTAAGCTTTAAGTTTAAACCTAGACTATAACGTTTTTAACTTCTCTCGAAGTTTGACAGTTATCCTCTATCTACCATCTGCACTTCCGTTCTTATTTTCATTTATTGGTCGTAAATTGTAAAACCCTCTCTCCAGTTCATCATGTCTTCGTTTTTCTTCTCTAACAATAAAATCCATCTGGCTTGCACTTAGCTCTGTTTTATATCACGTCATATAAAAATTGGAACCGCGCTGTGGGGCTTGATAATACTGTAGTAAAAAACTTGTTACATAAAGTGGACGTCAGTCGGTATCAACAAACGAGCAGTTTATGTGAGGACAATATAAGTACCGTATTAATCTGTTTCTTGTTGTGGAAGCTCTGCAGCATCTTTTTAAGAAATAGAACATATGCCCTGGTTTTATGTCGTGCTTTCAGTAAACTTCGTTAGAGTTTAATGCGATGATAGATTAGTATAATTTTGATCCTCATTTAGCTCCCGTTTTTCAGGGTTTTTTGTACTTCTCTCACGCAAGACCAGATATACCTGGGCCTTTATTCTCGTTACTCAAAACGCGAAGTGTTTTTGAAAATCGCTTGTCGACTTCAAAACGACTAGTAAGTGGTTGGTGTTTTGCTTATCGCTGTCTGCGTTTTTATTTATCTATAGGGTGTTGGATGTTATTGATACGA